GAAGACCCTGATGCGGAAGATCTTCTTAGTTCCTAACAGATCTAGTTAGAGAGCAGCAATCATAGAAGACTTCAAATCATCATACGAGTCGGAAGACGAGAGAGAAGCTCGCAAGCTGAGCACATCATTTTTCAAAGTTGAAATGAAATGAAATCAGTTGTACTGCAGGTTGAAGAACCAAGCTGTCGACTGACCACTCCTGAGATCTAGTGAGGGAACACAAAGAAAAAGAAGAAGAAGGAGAAGATGATAGCGTGAAAATTGTGAAAATTTGGAAAAAGGGAGGGGAGGCTCTCACAAACCATGCCAATGCCTTCTGGAAGAAATGGGGAAACATGCATTCTCCGAACCCCACAACACACCATTATAAATGAAATTGAAAGATTAACACGGACAACAGCAACCAAATTGGAGCAAACAAATCATGTTTTAAAACAAACTGATTGCTGGAAAGGGCCTACCCGGATATGGTAATGAAATAATGTATATGGAATAAGATAATAAAGGAATGGTCACTGCTGATTTTGAGAGAACCTACCTAGAGCAAACTGCCAGTTTTTAATGACAAATGCTTCCACAACATATGACCCAGCTTGAAGGAACGCTCCGAGAAGGGCTATCAGTTCCACTTTAATGCACAACTGTGGACAAATTTTTATAAAAGAAATCATCAAATCGATTGAATACATTTTACGGAATACATAAAACGAAATTATTTCGGAAAATGATCGAGTGTGCTTTAAATTTGTGTTTGAGTGGGTGGTGAGTGCTCTAGTGTCCTATCAACCATCTATCGCTCTTCTCTATCTCTCGTCCTTCTTTTTGCGTTTGTTATTCTCTTTGGCACTTATATGACCTAATTGAGGAGCAAGTGCCATAAACTTCCCACTGAAACGAGTCTGTGTGGTCCCGCTTCTTAATACGCAGAAAGGCAATGTATTTATTCTTCAGCATTGAAGAAACAATAAATCAGAGAGCTTGTATTCTTTCAGTTTAAAAAGAAAGTCAGGGAGAAAAAGCTTGAAGATATTAATGTGTACTTAGTGTGCAGAATATTCAAACCACAGCACGATGAGTGGCGATGCTCCATTACAATAAATGTATACGTAAATGTAGGCTTGCATGATCGTTGAGGTCTTGTCTGCTAGGACAATATACAGTATGACGTTTGCATTTTTGCCTGTCCGGAGGGAAAAGGCGGAGGGTAGGGCTGTCTGTCTGTCTGTCCGTCTGACTGTCAGTTTCACTGTCTGTCCGTCTGACTGTCTGTCTCTCTGTCTGTCCGTCAGTCTGTCTGTCTGTTTGAATGTCTGTTTGTGTGCATTTACACACAAGCACAAACACACACACACACACACACACACACACAGACAGAGAGAGAGAGAGAGAGAGAGGGGGGGAACCTTTATCAGAGTAGAAACTTTATGATTAGGAATCTTCCTCAGTGAGCTTATATGTGCTCAAGACAACACGAGCAGGTGTTTGAATAACGAAATTGTACACATTGATACAATGCACATAGTTTTACTCAGAGTATGTGTGCTTCTGTAAGCGGGTACATATGTATGTGCTTGGGTTTGTCAATAACGTTGTTTTATATATACATTGTGTTACCTTCTCAACCACTTCACGGCTGTGTAAACGTGAATACTCTCTAGTGTTCTGCAAAAATGGCTCACTGCTTTATTTTTCTACCGGTCTATACGATCAGTTTTAGAAGATGTAATTACAGCCTATGCAGCTGTTCACTCTTACACAAGGTAAAAGATGTACATGTATTGCCTTTGTCTAGATGTCCCATGGATCAACATTTTACCTTGTCTGTCCAAACGTCGACAAAAACCTCTAAACATTACAGAGGCCAAAGCAAAAAGAAAGTGTATCCAATTACCTGAAAAGAAAATTGTCTTAACAATGCAGGGTTTAAAGCAAAACGGAAAGACTAAATATATCCAAATACCTGTAAAAGCCTCAGCAAAACAAGACCCAGTAGAAACTGCCCAGCCAGCCTCGCACCGAGATAAATCCCTATCTCCAACGATGTCCAACAAAAGGGCTCGTGCAACTGATATAAAGGATCAATTTTGTTCAGACCAAGCACGTTCATGACGGAGAAAAAGAAAATCGCCATACAGAGTGCAAAGGTTAATTTTTTTCTGATCGTTCCTGTAAACAAGAAAAATCCAGAGATACGTTTGATATTTCCGAAAACACTGAAGGGTGCTCTTTTCTCCGTCACTGGAAACGTTTCAGGGAACAAAAACAGACTACCCAAGAAAGCTACAGCTGTGGCGCCTGCACATAAAATCGAAGGGGAGAAGAAGCCTTGGGAATCTATTAAAAATCCTGTGACAATACTGAAAATGCTAGTATCACATGCCATAGCGGCAGTGAGAACAGCGATCCAGAAAACTCTGGAGGTCTTTTCGGGATTAACGTCGGCGATGCTGGAGAAGATGGCTAGGAGCATGGTGTAGAAGGAGCCCGACAGGCCGTCCACGGCACTACCGATGTAGAAAACCCACAGAGGGAGGTTAAATCTGGGGAGAAACCGGTTCGGGAAGTCTGGTTAATATTCGTTTATTCACTTTTTTAGGTTGTGTATCGTTACAGTTTTTACATGTATTTTCATTCTAATTTTCATTTTCTCGCATGTCCCTTTTTCGGGTGCTATGTTAGTGATCTTATTCATATCAGACAATCACAATGGCTTCCAGAATGTTAATGAGTAGGTACAAAGATAGGTCACTTTTAACATGAAAAGTAAAAGAATACATGGCTTTTAAATGAGATGCACACTCTGTTATACACATAACCATACCTTTCAAACTGGTAGCATATCTGGCCGAGTGGTCAAACTCCGAAAAAGAGATAAAAGTGAAACAACGCAGTCAGAAAGAACCTTGAATCATGTGTTGAAGAGGGTGTTGAGAGAGTTCAGTTACTTGACTTATTTCAACAAGTAAAGTTGATGTATTATAAACAAAATGTAGACAAAAGAATACAGTTTTAAGAAGATGCTGCCAGATCAGAACAAAGTGTAGACCCAAGGGATCTACACAGAAACATAATATGTTAAGCAGTATAGCTTTTGGATTCGTGTTGGCCCTGCACCGAATACCACCAGCATGTTGGAAATTAACCCCCAAAGACGGTTAAGGGACGAGGTTCTTGTAGCTAAAAATCCTTCTATTACTATAGAGATAAAGAAACAAAACAAAAAATGAGTTTGAGCCTTGCAAAGGATAAGAGACTTGGCGAGTTATACAGACCAACGCAAAAGTTGAGATTATTGATGAGAACAGCAAGATATAGCTGCACTATCAAGGTCGTGGTTTAGGCACCTGAACACTGTACGAATAATCTTGAGCCTAGTCTTCAAATTATAAAATATCTATGATTTTATTTTCAGTGGTCTTCAGCTCATCCAATAATAAAAAGAAGCTTTTACAACAACACAATATCCTTGCGTAATCCTCATTTAGTTGAAACTAGTTAAAAAAGGGATCTCAAAATTCAGAGATAATGATTGGAAGCTAATGCTCATTTGTCAGTCCAAAGTAGGAGTACATGCCACATATTGATTTATTTCTATGTGTCTTTTGAAGACGACGTCTGCATTGAATTAAACAAATTTGGACTCAGAAACTCCGACTGCTGTAATCAATGGTCTTCATACTATAACGTTATCATTAACTTTTTTCAGGGATAGATCGATTTACTTTTTCGTCCTACAGACTTCTTCGTCTTGCTATCAAAATTAAGACCAGCACTGACTTCAACTTTCTCATCCCTTGGCTGCTATCTTCTTGATTTTTTGTTTCCCGACTCTAAAGCTGATTTGAACTCATTTCTTTTTAACAGACTTCTTAACCTCAAAGATTCAAAGAGCCAAAAAAAAATCTTACTTGACTATAACCATGTTCAAAATCATCCTAATCAGTCCTCCTAGAGTTGAGATGATGAGAAGAGGTCGCCTTCCGAAAGTGTCAGAAAATCCACCAAAGAATAAGCAGATGATCAATGCCGGGCCACTGAGGGCATAGCTGTAGTTTAGGTTCAGGTCGGATGCCTGGGGAAATCGACAATTTTTATTTCAGTTGTACCTGGATCAGCATTGCAGTTCTGTCGATATGTTGAAGTATTGTTTTATTATTGTGGGCTCCCTGGACTTCACAGTAACTCCCTCAACCGACCTGGTGTTTTATCTTGGGAGGCATACAGTGCCGGTCTGATTATCGCCTAAACACTCACAGCTATACAGTTCCTTCCGTGACGACTTTAAATTACCCATTTGCAGCTAGTCCAACAACTGAAGAAAAAATAATAAACTATTCCCGGGAAAGATATAAAGAACATAGCCAGTTAAATATAATCGAACCTTCGACTGAGAGCCCGAACATTAACCAACCAGATTAAGAGTGTGGCAGACAGTACTTCACACGGCCAAGTCCACTTTGAACGAACCTAAGTGCTGTCCTGTTCTTTACGGCTAATAAAATCCTACTCTTAGCGTTCATGTACAAAGGTAACGAACAAAAGATTAGTTCAATAGCCCCCTAAAAACCTCGCACTCTTACTCATTGACTTCTACCCAACCACGGTCCCACTCCACCATGGAATAAAACTGGTAAATTACAGGGAAATTACCTTATCTTGTCCCAAAATCACAAAACATCTGTTTTGATACCTGTTTGCATGTTATTTATTCGCGTAGTTAATTATTGTATTGTTCCTGACTGCAAAGAAATTGTTAAGGAATTTAATTGATATCCGCGTAAATTTGTTGTTGTTTTTGTGTTTTTTTCTGAGCCTGTTTTCATGTTCAGACTTTGTACTCCGCATAATTTGAACCAGAGAGCGCTTGGTCAAAAATGCATCTCAAAGACTGTTTGTATATTTTGTTCCCCAATCGACACAATTTAGATAATTTAGAAGACAAGCTGTTTCGATCCAGCTGGCCAGGATCAACTTGAAGTGAGTTGTATACAACATTCCAGCAGACAGACGGAGGCACTCAACAAATTTAATTTCCCCACACGGGAATCAAGTGAATTCACTCGTTCTTGGTGCAGCGACGAAGAGCCAATCAAAACACCACAGACGCCGGTTTACATTTTTAAAATATGCTTGAATGATCAAAATGGTAAAAACAAAAAAACAAATTAAATGCAATAGACAAAAAGCAACCACCCCCCCCCCCCCAAACAAAACAGAAACAAAAACAAACGAACAAAATCAGTGATAACCTCTGATTCCAGTTCGTCGGCCTGCATCACCACAGGGTCTGTTGTCAAGTTGCCACAGAGGACCACCCGGCTGGAGGTCACGTTGAGACCCCGCTCCTCTGACAGACGGTGGACCAGGTACTGGGGCTGTGGGAGAGAACAGACGGAGAGGTTTGGGTTTTAGGATGTTCCTCTGTTTGTTGTTATTTCTTCTGTTGTGTGTGTGTGTGTGTGTGTGTGTGTGTGTGTGTGTGTGTGTGTGTGTGTGTGTGTGTGTGTGTGTGTATGTGTGGTAGCCTATCCGTTCGAAATGTTTGGAGCCCCGAAGAGCGTGCTCTTCACCAGGGCCACCGCCTCTCTTGGGTAACGGGTGAGGCAGTCCAACCTCCCTATTTATAACTCTTGTAATTTTCACTACTTCAAGGAGAAATTAATATCACAACGATCCCCGAAACTTAACGCCTATGATGGTATAACTTTTTAAAATATCCAGCAATTAAAACAGTAAGGAACACCACAAATTAAGAGGAGCACAGAAAGGCTGCCTGTTGGCGAGATCATCACTCACTCACTCGGTCTCACTTTCTGTTGTTGTTGTCCCTGTTGTTGTTGTTGTTGTTGTTGTTGTTGTTGTTGTTGTTGTTGTTGCTGTTGTTGTTGTTGTTGTTGTTCTTGTGATGGCGTTGTCATCTTCGTTATTGTTGCCGTTGTTGTTGGTGTTATTGTTGTTCTTGCTGTTGTTTGTGTATCGGTCTTTGGCACTGTTGTCACTACCATGATTGCAATAGTAGTTGTCTTATGAACTAAGTAATGTCAGAGCCTGAATGTAACGTGTGCCCGGAGGACGGGGGGGGGGTGGTGGGTGGGAGGGAGCAGTAATCTAAAGACGTAGGTTATATTATACAGTCGAACCTGTCCAAAACAACCACCTGTAGAAATGGTCACTTTTCACTCCACCCCATCCCACCCCTTGTTTGCATACTTTAATAATATTAAAATGACACCGTTTACGTCTAAGACAATCACTTTCCTATTCTACAATGGATGGCCGTCTTGAGAAATTTCGAATGTAACACCAACAATAAATATGCCAACCTACTGCAATTGTGTCGCTGGGAATAACACCAGCGAAGTACATCACAGGAACCAGAATCCCAACAACGGTCGCTTTCCATTTGAGTTTCTTGTTCTGTATCTGTTGTTCATCCGATGGCGTCGTTGGTTTAGTGTTCTGTATTGTTACCTCAATCGTTGAAGAGCTACCTATAGTTTCACCGCCCTCATCCGAGTTCATCACGGCGGAGTGAAAAGATTCGTAATGTCCGCCATTCTGGGGATCACTTTTTTCTTGATTTGCGTTGGGCAGTCTATTTTCACTGTCCATTGTTTTGATATCTCTTGATTCAAGGAGCTCTACCTTAATGGTTTCTGTGTTCTTTCGTCGTTTGTTCTTGGCAGGACTTTAAAGCTTAATGTAAAGGATAAACCGACCACTGGTCTTCTCACCAAGTTTGTATAGATCTATCCATTCCTTCATTCACTATAAATATTGTCGAATTTTCCCTTTTTCGCATTGGATATGAGATCATCTCAGCATTGTTTTGCTTTTTTCAGATGCGACAGTGGAAACTCAATGAGAGACACGTTCACTTTCTAGTTCAACTTTGATTTTGTTCTCAAGCCTTGTACTCCAGAAACAAAAATTACAAAATGTCAGCACACATTTCAAAAGAAAGACATCCATCAGCACTTCCTCACATCTGACCCCCAAAAAACCCCAGCAAGTAGTCCTATTTATTACTTCTATCACAGTTGAAACTGTATTGCACGTTTCCTTTCAAGTAGACAGCATCTACTAACAGACGCAGTTTGTAAGCATCCACCAACTATACTACTTTCCTCCAACAGAAGCAAAAAAAACACATTACATGGTGTAGTATCTTTCAATCACGGACACCTGGTTTTATTATGGCATACAGACTCATGACTGGTCAGCAACGAACTACATATTGCGCTATCGTTGTCTGCATCCTATAATGACCCCGCGATCGATTTGACCAAGCCGCAGGTCTCACAGTGTCTATTATGCATGAATAGATTATTATTCTGTAATCTTCCAGCGAGCATTGCTTAAGAGGTAAATCTTTTTCGTCTTTTCATTGGCCTCACCCGTATGGCGTCTTGATCTTTGTAGTTGAGGTGTCTGAGTGTGCGTTTGTATTTATGTGTGTGTTTGTGTGTATACGTGTGTGTGGGGGTGGGTGGGCGTGTG